ATGGGGTTGGAGATATCCGGATATGGCCCCGACAAATTTCCAGATATTCTGAGAATTTCGAGAGTGTCACTGTTCTGTTCGGACATAATGATATTTTTGGGTTTGTGGACCCATGATTGGTTATGTTGAACCTCTGTAATAATTAACTAAGTCAGAATCAATTGAATTAAGGGCTTAGGGCTTTGGGAGAAGCCTAATGACATGAAACGTAAAAGGATAACGTTGTCGTTATGTCATGAACTATTAGAATATGAATATTGATATGATTGTTGGTAATAACAAACTGTGAGAGTGTTGTTTGTGGACCTTGGACTTGGTTGGACTCTTGAGTTTGGATAGTTAGCTTGCGAGGTAAGCTTTTGTGTCCTCGGTTTTTCCATTGTTGGTTCCACCATACCTCATGGAGGGATGGTTTATATGCATGATGTGTTTTCATGTATTGATATTTAAAATGCTATTGAGCTGTTAAGTGCAAATGCCTTATGATATGTATGTGTTGTTCCACCTAGACGGTGAGCTTGAGTATGTGGCGTCATACAATATGGTGATTCTGTGGGTGGCTGCAAGTGGCGTCTTGCACTGATTGTAGGTTATAGACGTGTGTAATTCCTTCATTTTCTCTAGCCAGTAGGATATTGACACACATGACATTATTATCTGCTGCATTGCACTGATTTTGGAACTGATATTGTAATACTGCTTTTAGAACTTATATTGCACATGTAAGTGAGCTTGGGGTGGAGAGATCCTTGAGGACCCCTTGTCTTATTGAGATTTCTTTTTAGAGATCTCACCCCATGTTTGGGGCACATTTTCAGGTTCAGGTACCTCGGGGGTTGATGCCTCGGGCGGTAGGAAGCCGAAGCTTAGTTGTCTGTTTATTGCCTGATATGCTGATATGCTTAGTTATTGCTTGTGCTTTTATATGGTTATTGAGATGTGACTCTGTTGGGCTTTGTTGCCTTATTTGGTGAGCATGGGGTTGTCCATGCCACACTGATTTATGCTTTGTTTATTTAGACTTGTTATGTATAATGAATCAGGATGTTGTCCGGACTACGTGTTGTAGATCCGTGACTATATACACATTTTATATATGAGGTTATTCAGTTATGTCTTTATTTCAATTTACATACAAGCAATGTTTTGAAAAAGGATTAATTAATCAATTTGGTCACTAATAATGACATCATAATTGAATGAAAAGAAAAAGTTAGTTCCGCATTTTTATTAAGCAGCGCTTAATACTATGATATGATAACAAACCGGGTATATACGGTGTGTTACAACAATTGCCACTGATTACCGTTAGCCAACCACCACCATCACAGTTATTGCCATTAGCCATCGCCATTCCCAATCACCAGGCACCAAGCACCAACAATTACATGCCACCACCTCCTTTATCTGTCAGTCACCACAATTATCATTGGTCATTGCCAATGCTGTCACCACCACCAGCTCGCACAACCTCTATAACCACATCATATCGCCATCCTAACCTGCCACCATCGTAGTAGCCACTATCACTAGCCAAAGACCACCAATATTGTTAATCAATTTAAAACCTAATTTTAAAAAAATTATTTGGTGAGAATTTAATTTTATTATTTTGAAAAAATTTGTAAGTCATTTATGCATTTCAATATATTTCATTTAAAATTGTGACTTTTAATTTTTTTTAATAATTTAAAATAAGAACTAATATGTAAATAAGTAACACAAAAGTAGTTTGAAAATTAATTTTAAAAAATTATATGAAATTCAATTAAAATGGTATTTTTAACTATTTATATCATATCATGACATGATATGGTTCGCCTCAAATACTAAATATGATAACATTATCCTATCAAATTGCTTATGTAATGCACATCAAACACAGGGTAAGATATGCGCTTATCAGACCCATATCATTTCCTACTCTCATCAAGCCCTCTTATCCTATTCGTTCCTATCATATTTTGTCTACCAAACAAGCTCTAAACATAATACTAAGGTAATATATATCATAAGTCTTAGTAATGATTTACAGTAAAATTTATAAATGATTTATTAACAAAGAATTATTGATCAAAATAAAATTTATTTTAAATATATTGAGCAAACTTTCATTCCTCTTTTGTTTAACATTCCATCCCTTTGAATGATCCATACTTGTTTTAATTTAAGAAAAAGTTCAACAACCCCCTATAGTTTTGTTTTGAATCACTTACATCCCTATATTTTTTTTTATCGCTTATCCTTTATGATTTTTTTCATCTAATACCTATCTCTAACACTGTTAGAAACTAAATTAATTATGCTATTTTTCTCATTTTAGAAAAAAAAATAGACTAAGGGCAAAAAAAAACATAAAAGAAGAAATAATATAAAATATGTTGGAAACTTATAACATTTATAGAAAAAACTAAAAATGAAAATAGAAGAAAAAAGCAAATATGCCTAAATCAAAAATAAGAAAATAGATTGAGAAGACAAAAAAGAAAAAAGAAAAGATATGATCAAATATGTTGGAAACTTACAACAGTAATAGAAAACAATCAATGAAAAAAAAAAGTAGTCTAAATAAAAAAAAGGAAAATGGATTCAAGACAAAAAAAAATAGAGGAAAAACCATAGGGGAGTTTTTGAACTTTTCCCTTTAATTTAACCTCTTTCTTAACAACCCTATTAACTAAATAATGCTATACAATAACTTATTTTTCTTCCTTTGATTTTCTCCGGTCCTAATAAAAATAAGTATTATGCTTAAAGTTCATAAAAAGAAAAAAAATTATGCCGAAAACTAAATGGTCGGTAAAATTAAAATAATCTAGAAGCTACCTACATTTCTTTATTTATATATTATCTACTGAATATATAGGATTCCTCATCGCAGGCAAGGACTTATATGTACCATACTACACATTGGACAATTTGACTTCTTGTTAGAATTATGGAAACTGGTTGCAAAAGTGTATTTCCCAAGTGCTATGTTTGCTTTATACGTTTCCATGTAATGTCCAAGCATTGGAAAGAGGCTAGAAACCTGAGAGAAACAACAAAAGCATTACCTCCATATCAATCCAATCTTATAGATATTATTTAGTATTGGGGAGATTTATTAGATTGGTTAATTGACAATCCTAGTTGATGGTGCCAGTGAAGTGTGACAAATCATATAGCAATAATATTCCACGGTAAAGTAGCTATCCTAAAGACACATGAACGGACAATTTGGCGATGCTGGTTGAAAGATATATAGTTTAATTTAAGATATTGGATTAGTCTCCAGCAGTAGTTAGTGGAGTGGACATTAGAATTCTTAACTTTCACTAAGTTTTTAATTAATGATTACTGGCTAGCTTATTATAATAATCTATATTGTGAAAAATGCTTTTATGTCCACATCCTCTACAAGAGTCAAAATCAAATAATTTGAGTTCGTGGAGTCTAAGTAACTAGTAAATAGTAATTAATATTTTGCTGTAGGGTTGATAAAATTAAAATCTTGCATTTTGTAAGGTTTCTTTCCTCGTTTTGAGAACTAGGGAAGAAAGAAAAAAAAATTTGTGTCTCAAATGTAACAATGTATATATACATATAAAATTTATTTGGTTAGATACTTTGAACAATTATGTAAGTAACGACCATTCTTCCACTTGAAATGATTGCTCACTTCTTTCCTAAACTACGGGTCGGAGAAACATGTAAGTCTCATTTTTATAAAGAAACCCACAAAATAAAAATAAAAAATAAAAAATAAAATAAAAGGCCTTGTTTGAATTCTATTTTCAAAAATAGTTTTTTGATTTTCAGAACAAAAAAACTTATTTGATAAGGGCTGTTTTAATTTGTAAAAATAGTTCTAAAAATTATAACTATTTTTTAATTTTTAGAATCAAATTTAGAAAACATATTTGAGATGTTTTTGTTTTGTGTGTTTTGACTTTTTAATTTTCAAAAAAAAAAACACATATTTTATTAACTATTCTATAAAACAATTTTAAGAAAAAAAAATAGAACATAATCAAACAGGCTTAAAGCTTCTTCTTCTTTTATTTATGTACGCGTTGATTTTCAGATTACAATTTCAACTCCACTTTCTTTTTATTTACAAAATAGTTCTATAGATTATTGTGAGAAGGAAAATGGCAGGCCAAAGATACAGACAAAGCACAATCTAACTAAAATTCGAATTTGAACTAAGAGTTGTGGGTGCAGTGACATTTTAGCTAGACCTTAGAATTTGATCTGTACAAAGGATAGTGAATTCGATTCTTGAAAATAACAATTTTTGAAGAGGGTGGAGAGGCTCAAACGAAATTGAATTAGTGGAACCCATTAGAGTTTCAAACACTTGTTGGTATTTACCAAAAAACATATTAATTTGAAATCAAAAAATATCCTAAAAGACTTGATATCCCTTACTAACAAATCTTGAATCAGCTCCATTAATTTCCTTTTATTAGTAAAATGCATAAGGTTAATCTGATTAATAAGTTGTGTGCTTTGTGACAATGTGAAAGAGATGTAACACCATACTCCCTACCATAATATCAATGTGTCATAGCATGTAGGTTACACAAGCCATTAACTTTTAATCTCCAAATTAGATAATGCGTGGCAAACAAGCCCCTAAATGCTAGCTAGACCTTGGTCACCAGAGTATTAACCTTAGTGCTAATTACGCTATATTACCCCAATAATAATTGCTTTGATGATGGAAGCACAATAATAAAAAAATATGGGTAGGGGAAAAAAATAAAGTATGATTAATACTAATAGTACCATTAAAGCAAGAAATAATGTAGGAGAGGAAGAAAAAGAAGGGCTAAAGCACTTTCATTGGTCCCATATAATGTCCCCTCACTAGCCCCTTTGATGTGATCTTCAATTTTTTATTTTTTATTTTTCATTTTTTTTTTATTAATTTCCTCCACTTCTATTCTCTTGTCTTCTCTTCCCCCCCACCAAAAACCTTCCCTTTCATACTAAATGATTTATCTGTAGCAGACATGTCTTCTTCTAGCAAAGGAAAAGACATAGTAGAAGGATCATCAAGATCCTCTGCTAATTCTGGTGATGGTGGTGGTGATGATCAACATCATCATCATCAACAACAACAACAACAATTGCCACTGAGCAGGTATGAGTCACAGAAGAGAAGGGATTGGAACACTTTTGGACAATACTTAAGGAATCAAAGGCCTCCTGTGGCACTTTCTCAGTGTAATTCAAACCATGTTCTTGAATTCCTTAGGTATTTAGATCAATTTGGAAAAACCAAAGTGCACTTACAAGGGTGTTTGTTCTTTGGGCAAACTGAACCACCTGGACCCTGCACTTGTCCTCTTAGACAAGCTTGGGGAAGCCTTGATGCACTCATAGGAAGGTTAAGAGCTGCATATGAAGAAAATGGAGGGTTACCTGAGACAAATCCATTTGCTAGTGGTGCCATAAGAGTTTATCTAAGAGAAGTGAGAGACTCTCAAGCTAAGGCAAGAGGAATCCCTTATAAGAAGAAAAAGAAGAAGAGGAATTCAATTATCAAACCCAACGGGGACACCTCAAACTTACCTTTGCAGTAAAGTTTTTAAGTTCCCCTCTCTTTGCTTCTTCAGGAGCATATGGTAAATTTTCTTTCTTACTATTTATAGTTTTTTCTGCTATTTCACAAGTATCTGTGAACCATTGACATTATTTATATGCATATATAAAAAAGGACATAATTGAACAATTATATATGACAATATATACTCTGTATATATAGTTGAATTTTCTGCATCAAGAAGGAAAAATTCATCAATCCTATTAGCACGCAGTTTGTTTTGAAGTATGATTAGTTCATTTATATTTCATCTTTTGCATCATATATTTCATTCAATATGTTAAACCCTAATCCATGGACTTCAAAACCCTAAATTGCATTGTATATTTTAGTTACCTGTTGTAAATTGTATAGTAACATTAAATACTTTATATACCTTGGCTTTTTTTCTTTTTTCTTTTTTTCTTGAACATTGCAATGAATGAGCATACAGTACAGGGACTAGGTAATGCACTCTCATCCATTTTCTATTTGTCGTTCTCACATGCAAGATGACAATGTTGTCATTGTTTCTGCATTTCCCAATTATTTTCTTTTGTGCGTATATAATATATTATATTTGCTTATGTACATTTTTGCTTTTCCACACAATCTTACTTCTTTGGGGATTGGCACTATCTTATTGTGGCTTTCACAAACAACATAACTAATGCAATGATCGATATACATTTGATTCATAAATTGATTTTCTTGTTAACTATATATTTGAAAAATTATCGAGGGAAAAAGGATTCAAGATCTATGGTTGAGGGAAAATTAGATGCTGTTTCAAGAGTCTAGTCTAAAAAACTCTTGTTTTCTCAAGATTTTGTCTTATTATAACAAATTTTGTCTCTTCTTTCCCTTTACCCATTATGAATGTCCTTTTTCTTCATTTGTTGCTGTTATATATAAACAAGTTCACAGGACCATTTTATACCGATGTAAGTTATATTTTCAATCTTAGTCGTTGATCTCACTTTTATTTAATGGCTCTAATTTTTTAATTATGTGAGTCATTAGATACAAGTAGATAGAGTGTAACGTGTAAAACCTAACTAACCAGGTGCAAACTGGACGTTATACTCTATAGCTAAAAATAAGTGTAAGACTTATGATGTATGTGTATCTAACCTCCGTACATGAATTAGAATCACACTGTCTTTCCACTACCATATTAATATATCTTCTTGCATTTTTTACAATCCTTTTTACCTTTGTTGACAATTAACAAAGGGGTTGGCCACAATTGCAATGTGGAACTGATCTATATTCTAAATATTACTTGAGAATTTTTGACATTGTAATCCCATTAATTGAAGTACATATATCTCCTATATGCATTAATTTAATTTTGGGTTCTGCTTTCTGATTGATTTCAGATCCCTAAATTGATTCAAAGTCCTGAATAATGTGTTGCTAGGCCTTGAATTACTTCAGCTGCAGTCGTGGAATTCAGGTTAAATATAATTCACTGTCTAGCGATATCCTTGGGTCAACTTTAACGCTTCTGTGGTCTTATATATGTCAAGGAATGTATTTTGTTATTCGAATGAGAGTTTAGAATGAAGTTGACGAAGAATTTGAGTTAACATTGGGTAAGTCCTTGTACTGTATTTACCTTTATGAATTGAAGTTGCTTCGATATAGTGTCAAACATAGTGGTGAAAATTATAACCTTGAATTTTCTCCATAGTAGTGTGTATGATAAATTAAGTGCATGGTATCAATTGGCTTTTTGCTATGTAAGTATGCATGTAACCTCTCACGAGATTGTATGCAGCAACGATAAAGACTAAACTATGGATGATTAGTCATTTATTTTCTCTAATAGTTCTTTGTTTACAATATTGTTCATGGTTACATATATATATATGTACTGTTAAAGAATAATATAAACCATTAAAAATATCCCTACCCAACACCTTAAGATTTTGGGTTGAAGTGGTTTTTTACATGGTATCAGAGCTTAAGTGACCATAAGGTCACGAGTTCAATCTTCACCGCCCCACTTTCAAGTGGAATTAAAATAAGTACAAGGTAAAACCAAAAACATTGGGTCTGTGCAATATCCACACTTCAAGTCCAAAGGGCTCTTGTGTGAGGGGGTGTGTTAAAGAATAATATAAATCATTAAAAATACCCTTACCCAACACCTTAAGATTTTGGGTTGAAGTGATTCTTTACGTATACATAATATATTACCCTTATACTTGGCATGTACACATAATAGTCATATATTTGAATATTGAGATAGATCTCTAATAAGTTAGTAGTGACACAAACATTGAAAGGAGAAGCAAATCAAGGTGGTAGAGACGAAACTTTTTCACAATTCATGGTGATATCCCCACAAATATGTAAGATGATGTCCCACATATAGGTGCATGCATGTAATGCAAGTCGATTAACCTAAAAATCATCGGATACCTTTGCTGGTCCTCTTAAATATTATTTAATCAATAACCTTTGACTTGATCCCTCCACTATTTTTTCACTTAATTAACTCAATGATGAAGACCCTTCTTTCAATTATAAAGATCTATTTGATACTAAATCTTGTCATGCATCGAGAACTTGCCACTCTAGTCTCTCCCTGAATCTCCATTAGGCATTTCGTGGTAATTTTTTCTTACAATGGAAATAACCAATCAATTATACTTACTGTTGCCATCCCTTGAGTGTTACGAGGAAATATATATGTCCATTTATTATCGGGTAGGTGCTCAATTATCATTGAAAGTGGATTGAGACTAAATTAAAGTATTGCATTGAGAACCTATATATCAGGATCCTATATATATGGGATCTAGCCGTGAAGAAATAAATATATATTCTGAATATGTAGGGTTATTTATCATAAACGTTGTCCAGTGGCTTGTTACTTTTATATATTTTAGAAATTGAAGATAATGTCATGATGACATGTTAGCTTAAATGGTGGAGATAGGAAGCGTAGACTCTCTATTCTTACGCAAATTAAAATATATGTAAATTAGTATATGTGTGTGACATACTGAGATGTTGCGTTGAAATGATAGGAGAGCTAGTATTTTGATATGACTCATTGTTTCGTTTGCAATTTCTTTGGTTTGTGATCTCTAGCTATTTGTAATCTTTGAGTGATGATTCTATTTGTAGTACTTAGACATCTTATTGCTACACATAAATACATACCCTATTATACCATTATATTTAAGTACACACATAGAGTGAGTAATTAACTTGATCCTGCAAATCATCTTGGAGTTTATTGGGAATTTGGAGGTATTATCGAGAATCTAGAACTATGGAGAAAGTTTAGCTTCTAATAATCTTCAGTTATGTGGTTCAATCAATTAGGATTTTCTTACACGTATATCTTGGACGACAAAACAGAAAGACTAATTAGGAGCAATTTGTTCACATAGTGTCAATGAAGATGAGAATTTTGGCAATTGGCACTAGTTTATTAGTTGTTGATGGGACCTTAAGCTTGGATTTTTGTTGGAAGATATAATCTATGATTTAATGCATTAATTGCAATCCTATTAATTAAAGTAGGTCCATTAGGAGTTGTGCCGTTGTGGTGCGGCAATTTCGAAAAATGTAGTTAGAGTAGGCCCTAAAATCACAATATTATTTAATTTTAAACCATGGTCTATAGAAGCACAAAAGAAAATATGTAGTTTTTTATTGCAAATAGAAGAGACTTTATATATGTTTATATATATTGAAAATAGAAAGAAATGCTTAGTTGTCATCATCACTAGGTGTTGATCAAAATAGTGATGTGTCTCGTAAGTGCTAAATTTGCCCGTAGGCACAAGAAACTTAGCACTACGTGTCCTGTAGGTTCTTGAGAATTCTTGTATGTAAATTACTTTGAAAAAAAAAATCTAGAATAATGCCTCCATTATACAACACGAGGACTACAAAATTATGGGCATGCAATGCATGTATTTACGTGCGAAGATCCCCAGCATGTTAGATTTTCTACTTTCATATATCAATCGAGTCAGAAATTAGATTGCTGTTGCTAATTGCTATAGAACCTCAACTTAGAACCCTTCGTGATGTTTTACAACTTTCAAATTCTTTTATTAAAAAAAAACATTTTATAATTGTGATAAAACAACGGTTTAAGGACATCAGGATTCATTGCATCATTCTATATATATATATAGAATGAAATTTTGTGATTCACAAAAGGAAAGTGAAGTGCAAATGCATGTGAAAGATTGAGATCATGCCGGGATAACTTGACACTAGATCACTAGAGGCCGGTATAATAATTTCTAGTTACTAAAGTGGAAATCCTTGCGATTATGAACATGGCAATGACTTATCATGGCGCGCAGTATTTGAAGTACACAAGTTGTTTGAAGTTCATGAACTTCAGAACTTGGGCTCAAAATATAAACTATAATGTAGTGGTTTCTTCTATTTTATGTGCCATTTTACTAAAAGACTATAGTAGAGATCAACAGGGTTGGCCTAGCCTATTAAGCAATAAGCACGTACATTTTAGTACATGATAAATAATACATTTGTAACTGCAAGGATATAATCTTTTGGGGAGGGATTCACTTACCACCAAATAAGTTTATCACTTCTTACTATCAAATTTTAATCTTTAATTTCTGTCAATTTTATGGTTATAATTTATTGGATGACACTTTTAAATTAATTATTAATTCCTAATAAATTATAACCGTCAGATTGACAGAAATCAACGGTTAAGATTTGATGATAAGAAGTGATAAACTTAATTGGTGGTAAGTATATCATGACCCATACTCTTTTATATAAACCGCTGCCATACTTTTTCATACCATTTAATAGTTGGGGAAGGATATACTTAGAACCAAAAAAGTTTACCACATTTACAACCAACTTAATCACTGTTGATTTCCGTCAATCTAACGGTTATAATTTATTGGAAATTAATAATTAATTAATAAATGTGACCTAATAATTTTCAATAAATTATAACCGTTAGATTGACGGAAATCAATGGTAATTAGGTTGGTTGTAAAGGTGATAAAAAATTTTAGTGGTAAGTATATCATGCCCCTTAATAGTTAGTGGTTGATATTTAATTATGTTTTTCATTTTCTTGAAATAAGAATATAAAAATATTTTATTTAAAGTAAGTGGAATATATGATTGAATATTATCTATTGATTGTTAAAGGTACAATACTCTCTTATAAAGGGAATTTCTCAAAAATAATAGCTAAAAACTATTTATAAAAAACATATACAAAACTATTTACCTATTTTTTATGATGTCGTACATGTGAGCAACACACCTATGCATCTCACGAGTACAAAACGCTATTTCACATGGCGCCTTGTATAACACAAAGTAAAATGACACCTTCATCATATTGCTCATCTGTGTCATGTGGCAGTGTCTTCTCATATATATGCTGCTACGTGATAATTAGCCAACACCCTCCCCATCTCCTTGTTCCTTTATAAATACCTTTCTCCATCCAACCCTCATTCTCACATAGGGCCTAAACTTCAATATTCTTCGCACAATTCTGTTCATTTCTCATGCATAGTCATCTTCACCTAATCTATCTCTATAATTTTCCAATCTCTAAAGTTGAAGCTTCTATAATCCTTTGTATTTGTTATCATTTTCTAATTGAAAACTAGTCAAATTATTGTTCTAGTATATTGCATATATAGTAGCAAATTTGAAGGGACACAAGGCATGACATTTGAAGGCAATAGAAGATTAATGTAAATAAAACGAAACATAAACTATAACCATATGAGGAAGAGGCTGCCACGTACATGACATTCAATTTCTTCTATAGCCGTTCACGTTATGTCATGCAAGAGGTCACGTGGAAAAATGATGTAGCCAAAAAATTTCATAGGGGTGCAGAGGAAGAGAACATAAATATTACTTGTAATTGAAGACTTGTACGAATTTGAAGGTAGCGATCATTAATTATAGGAAAATTATTTTCTCATGCTACATAGAAAAATTATCTCATATAACAGAGACAATATTATAAGCGGGATCCACAAACAAGAAGAGAGAGAAAAATAGGAGTGAGATCCACCTCTATTTTGTGTGTATAAGAACTTGATTTCTCTCGTATGAAAAGAGAGAAATATAACCCTTAATTATATGACAAAAAACAACTTAATGGTGTATGAACTTAAAGGAGACGACTGTCCACCTTGATCCCTCCCTGAACTACATTTTGCTTCCTCTTAAAAATATAAAGTGTATTAAACGGATCTCCTCTTTTATATATCTAGTGAGAAAGATTAATCTTCCCTTAAAAAAATTAGAGTATTAAAATAATGTATGACATTCTGCTGAGTTGCACTAACCTGAAGTATTTTTCACCCCGACTCGAAAATACACTGCCTTTAATTTCTATAACCTGAATTTATCCCAACTATCTTTGGGCCGAGAAAGATTATCGGGTCAG